TATATATATAGATATATATATATATATATATATATATATATATATATATATATATATATATATATATATATATATATTTAATTTTTTTTTCTGTTTTATATATACACACAATTATCTTCAAAAGGTGGAAAATTTCGATTTAAAACTAGCGCAATGCTTTTAATTCAGATTTTGTTTCTCTAGTTTACATACACGGTGAAGTCAGAAATATTTCTCAATTTCTGTTTATCGGAGAGCAGATTTCTCCAACACTTTTATAATCATAACAGTGTTAATAACTCATCTCTAATAGCTGAAGCCTCTTCTCCATGATGACAGCACATAATATTAGACTAGATATTCTTCAAGACACTAGTGTTCAGCTTACAGTGACATGTAAAGGCTTCACTAGGGTAATTAGGGTAAAGTTAGGGTAATTAGGCAAGTCATTGTATAACAGTGGTTTGTTCTGGAGACAATCCAACACTAATATTGCTGAAGGGGTGAATAATATTGAGCTTAACATGACTTTAACACTATTAAACACTGCTTTTATTCCTGCCCAAATAAAACTAATCAGACTTTCTCCAGAAGAACAAACATTAGAATAAACACTGAGAACAACTCCTCAATCTGAGAAACAGCACTTGGGGAATATTTGAAGACTCACAGGAGGGCGAGTAATGATTGTGAGTTGAGCTGTGAATGTTGCTCGTTCTGCTTTATAAATCTGCCCGAGTCTCCTGAACTCTTCTTCAGAAGGACAGCATCAGTTCAGCTTCTGCTCTGTTCCTGCGCTCCGAGTCCAAGCCACAGAAAAAGAGCAGTTACACTAATTTCCTTTCCAAAATCCAGACTGATAACACTTACATTATAACTCAGTGTATTAACACATGCATTCATTAATGAGGTCTGTGATTGTTGAGTAAAGCCTCTCAATGAAGCAAATTAATGAGTCTACTAATATGACATTGGACATTTTCTGCGACTATAATCTGTCAGGTTTATTTGTTTGTTTGTTTGTTTCACCATCAGATCAGCTGTTATTGGTGCATGTGTGATTACGCACAGGTTAATGTATACTGTAAACTGGGTGTTGGTGAATATTCACTGTAAGATATGCAGGTTTGCACACGGTTCTCGAATGTTGTCCCAACACAAATCAGCTAAGCTCACTTCACTAACTGAACAAATTAATTAAGTCGTCCTCCAAACAAGCTTAAGAACGGTGTTTAAATTCAGTAGTCAGCATCTGAAGTGGATCAAAATAGTTTTTCTAAATTGTCCTAAGAGAAGAGTGGGCTTCTGAACAGTTTGATCCACTTCACATGTTGACTGCAGGCCATTTCAACACAGCTTAGGCAAACGCTGCTGCCCAAACACCGCTCGCCATGATCTGAAAACGCAATCATTACTATAATACAAGTTTATTTGATTTGTGATGGAGAAACGGGCAGGTTTTCAGTTACTTTATTTTAATGTGTATTTCACACTATTAACTGACCATCAGCTGAATAAACTGCTCATTATCTGCTATTAATAGTCAGTGAGGCAGTATTTGTGTTTAGGTGTTGTGTGGGATTAGCGATGCAGAATTAGATCATACTTCATAGCCTGTAGTGAACATTAGATATCTTAATAATAATCCAGCAGTAAATGCTGTGAACTGTGAGCTAAACTAAAGCTTGAGCAGATCTAAACTCATCTTTAAACAGCGGTGTTCACTGTAGAGACTCTGCGGGTCTGCAACATACCTGCGAAGGCTTGATTTGGAAAAGTGAGAGAGGTCAGAGGTCATCTTTAGGCAGGGTGGGGTCATGGCAGGGTGAGTCGGAGGCCGTGTGGAGGGGATATAGAGATGAAAATCAGGATCAGAGTTCGGGATTCAGTTTTTGAGATGAGGAACGGGTGGATGGTTAGTGAGTGGCGGACATGGACCAGGCGCCCTCCATCCTCCAGACGGAGAAGGCGTAGCTCAGCCTCTCGTGGGCCAGATAGTTGCAGCTGGCCAGCTTGGCGTCCATCTCGTCGCTCTGCAGGACCTGGTAGAGGAAGTCGATGTATCTGGAGGCCAGTTTGAGGATCTGGATCTTGCTCAGCTTGTCCGAAGGCAAGGTGGGGATGATCTTTCTGAGGGAGGCGAAGGCGTCGTTCAGGGACTGTGTGCGCTGGCGTTCCCGAACGTTGGCGATCACTCGTTGCGTGTGGAGGTCTTCGAAGGGCTGTCCGGGAACTGGAGAAACCGAACTCACGACGGGCACCAGAGAGGACGAAGAAGACGATGAGGATGACGGAGAGCTTCTTTTGGGACGTTTGGGAGCCAGATTCGATGGGTTGTCCAGGGATGGTTTGTCGTCTTGTGAGACGGGCTCTTTTTTGGGACCCGTCAGCCGCTTGCGTGCGCCCGCCGGTGGAGAAACCACAACCGCACACTTATTGGGGCGCCGCTCCTGCTCTTCTTCAATGGGAAGGATCCCACTTTCAGGAAAATCTCCACAAGTCTGTTCCTCTCGCATGACGATCAGTCCTCCGTGTCAGTGCTCCTGCTGTACCTGTGAGCGGTGTCAAAGTTAAACACTGAAGCGAGCTCTGTGGGATCTCTGTGAGGGTTATACAGCCATTGCTTTGGGTTTGTTGTTAGAAATCAAATGCAATCTCTGCAGTGTGTGTGTGTGTGTGTGTGTGTGTGTGTCATGTGGCTGTTTGTGTCACTGACTGCTAGTCAGGTCTTTTATAAAGGTCTTCTGAAGCCCCGCCTACTGTGCACTGTGATTGGCTGAATTGGTGAGTGGGTGGAGCTGATCAGAGGAAACAGGAAGGTGATGTAGTTTGTGATTGGAGGATTGGGGATGGGGGTTTGATCTTGGGCAGAGGGAAAGACTCTGCTGTAGAGTTTTCTTGAAATTGTCTGAAGCATTATTGGTTCCAGATTTCTGCTTAAACAAGCCTTCGGCCCAAAGACACCCCCTCCAACACCCTCCACCTCCTCTTCTCTCTCCAGCGCAGACAATAGGAAGGAGCGGAGGAGAAGAAGGCTTGCTCTGTTGACTTTATGGCACAGTGAGGTTCTCGAAGGTAAACTAACCGTTATTTTAGACATGCTGAGTGAGAATATAAATCACTGTCAGGTGGGTCTATGCCAACAACAGCATGTCCATGTGTCACATTTGCATTTAATATACCTGCGCATGTAACGATGGGAATATGAGCCCGCGTACACCGTATTAGTCAGGAGTATTCACCCCACTGTAAAATGAGTGTTCTACTACTAATATTCACCCTGTTTCTCAGATTGAGGAGTTGTTCACAGTGTTTCCTCTAATGTTTGTTCTTCTGGAGAAAGTCTGATTAGTTTTATTTGGGCTAGAATAAAAGCAGTGTTTAATAGTGTTAAAGTCATGTTAAGCTCAATATTATTCTCCCCTTCAGCAATATTAGTGTTGGATTGTCTCCAGAACAAACCACTGTTATACAATGACTTGCCTAATTACCCTAACTTTACCCTAATTACCCTAGTGAAGCCTTTACATGGGTTGTAGGAGTATTGGACAATGGGTTAGTCTTCGACTGTACATTGCAGATTCATTTGCACTTGCCTGTTAGTGGATTTGTGTAATATCTCGATTGTAAATGTGTAAATATAGATTAAACTGGCATGAACAAAAGCGATCTCTAATCAAGCGAACATGTGAAGCTGCTCAGTGCTGTATTTGATCTGTGTTATCTTATCGTGTGGCATCTGCTCAGGACACCATTAGTGTTTTGTTTGTCTGGAGCGAGAACTGGCCAAGACCACAACAAGAGATCTGGTCATGAATTACAGCAGTATTTTTAGCTTGGTTTTGACCTTTAAAACTAAAGCAGACGTGTCACTCTAAATGAGAACTCGAAACCTGCCTTGATTGCGTCCTGTCATCGTGATAGTTCATTTCATTTCAAAACCTCATAACTAATGTCCTGCTGAACTTAAATTACTTTCAGAAGTGAAGGAGGATGACATTCAACAACACGATGAATTCATTTCTGAGCAGGCCTGAACGAGGATTAAAACGCAGCTCTAATCAACAGTTACAGATACAAACAATAGGCCTGTTTTTCTCCAGTCTCTCGTGTGTCTCCATGTCTTCCAGCAGATTAAACTCGGACAGATCTATAATGCAGCTGCGGGCTGCAGCGACGATTTCAAAGAGAGAAGATGTAAGACCAAGGCGTTTCTGAGGCTGACTGAGTGACCAGCAGATGCAGCTCTATCCTGTTGGTATTGTCTTGCTATTTTTATACTTTGGCCAGCAGATGAGAAGACAGTCAGCCATCTTCAGAAGCAATCAGAGTTTTGGCTGAGCTGTGAGTGTGTGTTGGCTGTCTGCAGTTCTGTTCACACCTGATATGAAGACGCAGTTCTGTTGATCCAATCACAAATGGACTAGGGAGACATTTTACTGCTAACAGCATCATCATCCAGCACAGCGCAGTTTCAGCAAGTGTTCTTTGCAAAACAAAGGTCTCATTTTCACATCCTGCACATCGTAACCCTCCTGTTGCCTTACTGCTCAACAATGAGCCAGGCACTATTATAAAATATTAAATAATATATAAATATTATAAAAACCTAAACAATTGTTTTATAAGTCCGGTGAACATGTCCCCAACACAAGAAAAAATGACAACGCTTTCTATTTTCATGAAAACTGCACACATTTAGGGTACAGCGGTTGTCCTTTGGGTCAATTTTGACTACTGTGACAAAAGGAGACCCAATAATAACAGCGTCCAGAAGCACTTCTCTGGGCTCGGCAGCATCTGGGATGGAGCATCACACAGTGGAGACGTGTCCTGTGCTCAGATGAAGCAGTGTTTCAGGTGTTTCTGGGAGAAATGGATGCCGAGAGATTCTGGAGCTCAATATGCTGCCTTCTTCTCCAGGGACGCCCAGACAATGCAGAACCCCATTCAGCTCAGGAGTTAGAGGAGACAGAGACTGGACTGGCCTGCCTGCAGTCCCGACCTGTCTCCAATAGAGAATGTGTGGCGCATTTAGATATGCAAAAAGCAACAACACAGACCCCGTCTATTTGCCCACTTTAAGACTTGTTTGTAGGAAGAATGGGAGAGAATTACACCTGAAACACTTCAGCACTGCAGTCTTCAGTCCCTAAACATCTTTTGAGTGTTGTGAAAAGGAACGGCAACATTACGTTGAGTGAGAAATGTTTTACTGATACTGTTTTTTAAATGTGTTGCAGGAACCACACCTGGAATATGTGTTCATTAAAAAAACAAACGATTAAAATCACGAGGAACACATTAAATAATGTTTGTTGTACAGTCCGCAATGAAATACAAGTATATATATATATATATATATATATATTATA